CCCCCCCCCCCCCCCCCCCCATGGTATGGTTTCATGCCAAGAAAGAGCACCACAGATGCCATCTTTGCTTTGAGGATGCTGATGGAGAAGTACAGAGTTGGTCAGAAAGAACTCCATGGTGTCTTTGTGGATTTAGAAAAAGTATATGACAGGAGGACAGCAGGACATGTATGAGGACAGCAGGACAGTGGTGAGATGTGCTGTAGGAGTGACAGATAGCTTCAAGTTGGAGGTGGGAGTGCATCAAGGATCAGCTCTGAGCCCCTTCTTGTTTGCTCTGCTGATGGACAGACTAACAGATGAGGTCAGGCAGGAATCCCCGTGGACTATGATGTTTGCAGATGACATTGTGATCTGTGGTGAGAACAGGAAACAGGTGGAAGAGAACTTGGAGAGGTGGAGGTATGCACTTGAAAGAAGAGGAATGAAAGTCAGCCGTAGTAAGACAGAGTGCATGTGTGTGAATGAGAGGGAGGAGGTGGAACAGTGAGGCTACAAGGAGCAGAGGTGACAAAGGCGCAGGACTTCAAGGACTTGGGGTCCACTGTCCAGGAAAATGGAGAGTGTGGTAAAGAGGTGAAAAAGAGAGTCCAAGCAGGATGGAGTGAATGGAGAAACATTTCAGGAGTGATTTGTGATAAAAGGGTGTCAGGAAAGGTCAAAGGAAAAGTTTACCAGACAGTGGTGAGACCAGCTATGTTGTATGGTCTGTAGACAGAGACATGGACAAAAAGACAGGAGACAGAACTGGAAGTGGCAGATATGAAGATGTTGAGGTTCTCCTTAGGAGTGACAAGGATGGAGAAGAATAGGAATGAGATCATCAGAGGTACAGCACAGGTTGAACAACTGGGAAATAAAGTTAGAGAGGACACACTGAGATGGTTTGGACATGTCCAGAGGAGGGACATTGGTGTGGACATGTCCAGGGGAGGGACACTGGTGTGGACATGTCCAGGGGAGGGACACTGGTGTGGACATGTCCAGAAGTGTGTGCCAGGAAAAAGACAAAGAGGAGATATTTGGATGCCGTTAAAGAGGACATGGAGGTAGTTGGGAGTGAGGACAGATGATGCAGAGTGAGATGGAGGAGGACTCGCTGTGGAGACACCTGAAGAGGTGAGAGCCGAAAGAAGAACTTTTAAACTGCCCTCATCTTACAGGACAGTCAACTTAAAGTTTAAATCAGATCTTTAGTCTCTGTTCTCAGCAGTCTGTTTCAGACACACAGCCGGGTTTTTTTAATAAGTAAATGTTTAAAACGAACAAACAAACTGAATTTGTGTGCTTTTGATTGAAACTCGGATCAGAGAGCTGCACTGCGGTGCACCAGATCACCTCCGGGATTCTGCTCATTTCAGGTTCCTTTCAGTCCTGCAGAACCCCCGCGGTCTGTTTAACAGAACCCGCTAACTGTTCTGACTCGAAGACACCCATAGATTCATTCGGCCTGCATTTACCGAACCTGTCACTGCGGTTCGTTGGACGAATTCATCTTCGATTATCGATTATCCGCGAAGATCTGGCTGACCGTCTCTGTATGTTGAAACAACCAAAACAAAGGCGGGAAAGGGGGCGTTCCTCCGAACAGAGAAGCCCCGGGACTCACCGGGTCTCCGGGGTTCTCCATGAGTCCAGTCAGGCAGAGGAGGACGGTCTGTGATCTACAACAACCCGCAGAAATAATCATTAATTCCGAGCGGCGGACATAACAACATAAGAACTGCTCCGACAAGCAGGAGCCACAGATGCTGTCCGCTGATTGGCTGCAGCTGAAGATGCTTCCCGTTGATTGGCTAGAGATGCAGAAGCTGCCCTCTGATTGGCTGTAATCTTCGCATCGTGTGTTGAGTACAGATGACAGAGGGGTTTATGCATCGCCCCCTGTTGGATTTAAACTGAACTACAGAGGGCAGATCATTGACGCCCCCTGCTGGATTCAGTCTGAACTACACAGGATTTTGTTGTTTGTTAGCAAAATATCTCATGAACCACTCGATGGATTTTTGCAAAACTTTCATAAGAAAATTATTGAATGTACATTTACAAACTGATTAAAATTTGGAGTCAATCCATTTAAAGATGGCTGTCGCAGCTAACTAACCTTAGTATTTATTTATTTGCTTAACTGAGGACTCATTTTCAAGAGAGACCTGTTTTAAACAGACAATATATAGCGTACAAACAACAATATATAACAATAAAAAGCAATTAAAATAAAATAGTTTTATAAAAGCAGCATGGTCCTAGCAGAGTGGTTCTGCTAGCAGCGAGGCTCTCTCAGCAGCATGGTCTTGCCAGCAGCACGGTCCTGTTAGCAATGAGGTTATGCTAGCAGCATGGTCTTTGGTTGCAGTGTGGTCCAGTTACCAGTGTGGTCCTGTTAGCAAAGTGGTTCCACAAGCAGTGAGGCTTTCTCAGCAGTATAGTCCTTCCAGCACCATAGTACTAGCAGTATGTTCCCGCCAGCAGCACAGTCTTTTTAGCAATGTGGTTCTGTTAGTAGCGTGGTCTTGTTAGCAGCATGGTCCCATTAAGTGTGGTCCTGTTAGTAATGTGGTCCTGTTAGCAGCATAGTCCTGCTAGCTGCATGGTACTGTTAACAGCATGATCCTGTTAGCATCGTGTTCCTGTTACCAGCATGGTACTTTTAGCAGTGTGGTACTGTTAACAGCATGGCACTGCCAGCAGCATGGTACTAGCTGCACGGTCCCACCAGCAGCACGGTCCTGTTAGCAATGTGGTTCTGTTAGCAGCGTGGTCTTGTTTGCAGCACGGTCCGGTTAGCAGTGTGGTCCTGCTAGTAGCATGGTCTTGTTAGCAGTGTGGTCCTGTTAGGAGTATGGTACTGTTAGCAGTGTGGTCCTGCTAGTAGCATGGTCTTGTTAGCAGTGAGGTCCTGTTAGGAGTATGGTACTGTTGGCAGTGTGGTCCTATTAGCATAGTCCTGCTAGCTGCATGGTACTGTTAACAGCATGATCCTGTTAGCATCGTGTTCCTGTTACCAGCATGGTACTTTTAGCAGTGTGGTACTGTTAACAGCATGGCACTGCCAGCAGCATGGTACTAGCTGCATGGTCCCACCAGCAGCACGGTCCTGTTAGCAATGTGGTTCTGTTAGCAGCGTGGTCTTGTTTGCAGCACGGTCCGGTTAGCAGTGTGATCCTGCTAGTAGCATGGTCTTGTTAGAAGTGTGGTCCTGTTAGGAGTATGGTACTGTTAGCAGTGTGGTCCTGCTAGTAGCATGGTCTTGTTAGCAGTGAGGTCCTGTTAGGAGTATGGTACTGTTGGCAGTGTGGTCCTATTAGCAGTGTGTCCTGTTAGCGTCATGGTCCTGTTAGCAGCACAGCCCTGTCAGCAGCATGGTCCCGCTAGCAGTATGGTTCTGCCAGCAGCATGGTACTACCAGCATGGTCCCGCCAGCAGCGCGGTCCTTTTAGCAATGTGGTTTTGTTAGCAGCGTGGTCTTGTTCGAAGTGTCATCCCGTTAGCAGTGTGGTACTGTTTGCAGCATGGTTCAGCTAGCAGCATGGCCTTCTCGGCAGCGTGGTCCTGTAAGCGTATGGTCCTGCTAGCAGCATGATACTGTTAACAGCGTGGTCCCACAAGCGGTGCAGTCCTGTTAGCAATGTGGTTCTGTTAGCAGTGTGGTACTGCTAGCTAGCAGCATAGTACTGTTGGCAGTGCGGTCCTGCTAGCAGCACGGCCTTGTCAGCCACATGGTCCTGCTAGTAGCATGGCCCTGTCAGCAGCATGGTCCTGCAAGCATGGTACTGTTAGTAGCATGTTCCTGTTAGCAGTGTGGTCCTGTTAGCAGTGTGGTACTGTTAGTAGTGTGGTCCTTCTAGCAGCATGGTACTGTTAGTAGTGTGGTCCTGTTAGCAGTGTGGTCCTGCTAGC